GAGAAGGTCACAGAGAGCAAGGAAATCTCCTAAGTACTTGGAGGATTACATAACATTGCTGGCTAAACAAAAGCCAGTAAACAGTAGGAGCACTGGGGAGTAAACACTGCATCAAGAAATAATTGTATGTTGGTAGTAGTTTTAGCCCGGGGGAAAGGGGTGTTATGTCCCGAGCCTTGCAAATGGGCTCGGGGCATTTGCAGGCAGTCCCAGGCAGGTGCAAGCTGCCCGGGACCAGACAGGCTGTCGCCAGCGCCTGTGCGCATGCACGGGTGCTGGCGCGGGAAAAGTAACACATTGACCCGGGAATTGCCTATATAAGAGGCTGGGAGCTTTTGGGCGTTGCTGAAGCCTTCACCTGTAAGCTGAACACAGAATAAAGAAAACCTGAGAACTACAACTGCTTCTCGTGTCTGCTTTTCTCCAAGGACTCAACAGTCCCTTACTAAGAATTTCTGATCCTTGCACTCTTCCCTTAGTTTTTCATCATAATCAAATTGATCCTGTTTTTAGCATCATATGGGTAGTCCTTGATTTATGAACTAGAATGGAATGGAATAGAATAGAATAGAATAGAATAGAATAGAATAGAATAGAATAGAATAGAATAGAATAGAAGCTGGAAGGGACCTTGGAGGTCTTCTAGTCCAGCTCCCTGCTCAAGCAGGACAACCTATACCATCTCAGACAGGTGAATGTCTAGCCTCTTCTTAAAAATCTCCAGTGATGGAGCGCCCACAATTTCAGGGGGTAGGATCCATGTATGGTTTTATAACCTTTTTTGCCACAGTTGTTAAGTGAATCACTGCAGTTAAGTGAATTGTAGGGTCATTAAGCAAATGCAGCTCCCCCACTGACTTTGTTTGTCAGATTGGGAAGATCTCAAAGGCTAACCAAATGACTCTGGGAGGCTGCAACTGTCACAAACACATATTGATTGCCAAGCACTTGAATTCTATTCAGGTGGCTGTGGGGATACTGCAGTGGTCATAACAACGAGGACCAATCTTGTCACTTTTTCAGTGCCTTTGTAAATCTGAATGGTTGCTAAACGAATGGCTTTTAATTTGGCTACTTATTCCTTTGCTCTCTATGCCAAAACCTTTTTGTACCTTGGTTTTCAGGTAAGGATGAGGTGGCAGGAGGTGTGTTTGGAAAACCTCTGTAAAATCTTTCTTAACACAATGCCTGTCCATAAATCCTGATCTGCAGCTTTGTCTCCCCAGCTGCTCTACTGTAACGCATTTCCATCTGTTGGTGATTAGGGTCACACTCCAACTCATCCAAGCAGCAATCTGGATGGAAAAGATTGTGGAAAAGAACAGTTCTGGGCAGCAGGCTGCAGTTTATGAAACTTTCCAATCACACTTCCCACCTCCAGTATACAGGTAGTCCTTGACTTATAGCCATTCGTTTAGTGACCATTCAAGGTTACAATGGCACTGAAAAGAGTGACTTATGACCATTTTTCACACTTACAACCATTGCAGCACCTCACAGTCACATCATCAAAATTCGGACGCTCGGCAAGTGACTCATATTTATGATGGCTGCAGTGTCCTGGGATCATGTGATCACTTCCTGCAATCTTCTGATAAGCAAAGTCAATGGGGAAGCCAGATTCACTTAAGGGTTGCTAACTTAACAACTGCAGTGATTCACTTAACAACTATAGCAGGAAAGGTTGTAAAATAGGACAAAACTCACTTAACAACTGTCTCGCTCAGCAACATAAATTTTGGGCTCAATTGTGGCCATAAGTCAAGGACTACTTGTATGCAATTTGCAGAGAAGATGCACGCACTCCTCCTGGATGGAACCTTCTCAATCATGAGGAGTAATCGTAAAGATTAAGATCGCCAAGGTCCCTTCCAATTCTTTTATTCTGTCCTTCTATGAATTCTGGGGAAGTGCAAACTCTCCAGGAGAAAAGTTGTGAGCTTTCTCCCATGTGATAAAGTCTCAACTCTGCTGTGTGAAAACCCAACCAGGAAATCGTAGAGGAATGAAGTGAGAAAGATCCAAACACCGACTGTTCAACTTTCTAGAAATTCATTCTAACCATTATTTATCAGGAACTGGAGAGAAATAAAACCAGAGTTTTCTCAGACAAAGAGGAATATTTAAGCCTATAACAGGGGCAGGCAATCTTGGCTCTTTTATGACTCATGGACTTCAACTCCCAGAATTCTGGGAGTTGAAGTCCACGAGTCATAAAAGAGCCAAGGTTGCCTACCCCTGGCCTATAACATCCCAATTATAGTGAAAAGGATATTCACCCTAATCAAACTCAAGGGAAAAAGTAGTGGATTGTAGGGACTGGGAGACTCAAATGGTGCTGAGAGTCCACCAATGTCGCTTTCAGAATGGGGAATTGCTAGCCACAGAGAGCCATTTTTTGACTGAATCCCAGTGGAAAGCCATAATTTATATTCTGGCCAACTGCAATGAGTAAGCAAGAAGAAAAAAAGGAACTCGTTCTATCAATTACAACACTCACTTCTATTTTTCCTATATTCAAACCTACATGCTATCCATGCAAATTGTGTCAATAAAGTGTTGTTTTTTTTAAAAAAAAAAAAACATATAAAAGCTTGCATGTATGAACTTTCTTTGCTGGGGATAGCTGTCATGTTTTACTTCAAACGTTAGAGGCATCTCCCCGTTTTTTAAAAAATAAAGTAGCAATTAGCAAAACCATTTGTTCAGCCATTGTTTGAAGTTACAATGGCATGGAAAAACATGACTTATGACCTGCCCTCAAATTTATAACTAGTGCAGCATCCCCAGAGTTACGAGATCAAAATTCTGGAACATGGCATGTTTATAATGATTGTACCCTTCCAGGGTCATGTGATCACCATTTGTGACTTTCCCACAAGCTGGCTTCCGATAAGCCAAGTCAATGGGAAATTGGATTTGCTTAATGACCATATGATTCACTTAAGAACTGCAGTGATTTGCTTAAAAGTGGTGGCAAAAATATCAAATCGGACAGGAGTTATTTAACAAGTACCGTAAATGCCGGCGTACAAGGCGACCCGGCGTATAAGACGACCCCCGTCTTTATAGCCGGGCCGCATTCCTAGAACGTCGTCTTATACGCCGGAAACTACCAGTATTTCCGGCGTATAAGACGACTCGGCGTATAAGACGACCCCCGTCTTTGGCGCCGATTTCAGCGCTCGCGGAAGTCGTCTTATACGCCGGCATTTACGGTACCTTGCTTAACAACTGAAATTCTGGTCTTAATTGTGGATGTAAGTCGAGGACTATCTGTATCCAGTACTCAGCTGCTTGATGCACCGTTCAATTTGCTGAGTTTCTATGGAATAATATTGATATGTTATTATGCTCTAAGAGGAAAACTTTAGCAGTAGTAAAATAGACGCTTTGCAGGCAGAAGGGCCAAAGTTCAAATCCTTAGCGAGACTCAGAAATTCAGTATGATTCTATATTAAAAATAATTTGGATTTCATTCTGCAATTTAATAACCAACCATCTCCTATCCATGATTCTGGGCAGCCAACAGTTAAAAACAAATAAAAACAGAGGAAAAAACAACCAAACATATAAACAGCATTATACAGAATGTTCTCATGGCACGGTCTTTGCTTAGCCCAGCAATGTGTTCTGGAGCACTCTGCCTTTCCAAGTTTGCAATATTAGCTTTTTGATAAGTAATGAGATTCCCTGAAAAGCAGGTTGGCAGCCAATCCAATTGATACTGCTGACAGAGGGATGTCTGGTGAACTCCTGGCAAAATATGTTTGGATAGGAAGGGTGAAGACCAGCCTGTGTTTTCCAGGGTAACCTGAACTCCTCCCCTAGGAAGCTCATTAAGCTAACCCAGGGTCTCCAAACTTGGCAACTTTGAGACTTGTGGATTTCAACTCCCAGAATTCCTCATCAAGCCATGGTAGTGATGATGCTCTAAGATGGCCTGCATAGGAGAGTCTTTCATTCATCAGAATGAAATAAGCTTGGGGGCATACGGGGAAATTATCAGTGCATTTGATGCAGCTGCCTCCTATATTATTATAGTATATTGCTGTCAGCCAGAGGTTCAGACTGGATTTGGCATTTTTATCCACCTATCAAGTCCTATCCAAAAACCTGGGATAGGCAGATGTGGATGTTTGATAGTGTTAGAGGAATAATAATAATGATGATAATGACAATAATAGAGTTGGAAGAGACCTTGGAGGTCTTCTGTCTAACCCCATGCTCAGGCAGAAAGCCCTATACCATTTCAGACAAAAACTTCTTAAAAACTTCCAGTGTTGGAGCACCTACAACTTCTGGAGGCAGGTTGTTCCACTGATTAATTGTTCTGTCAGGAAATTTTCCCTTAATTCTAGATTGCTTCTCTCTTTGATTAGTTTCCATCCATTGCTTCTTGTTCTGCCTTCAGGCGCTTTGGAGAATAGCTTGACCCCCTCTTCTTTGTGGCAGCCCCTGAGATATTGGAACACTACTATCATGTCCCCCCTCGTCCTTCTCTTCATTAAAACTAGACATACCCAATTTCAGCAACGTTCCTTATATGTTTTAGCCTCCAGTCCCCTGATCATCTTTGTTTTTCTTCTCTGTACTCTTTCTAGAGTCTCAAGTCTCTTTTTTACATCATTGCAGGATGTAAGGTGTTCCAAGAAAATCTCCCCTTTGCAATTGTCTGGTGGAGAATTTGTCAATGCTGATGGTGCGGTTCTCCCATTTTTCAGAAAAAAAATTACAAGTGGCCCAGGAGAGACATTTCAGCACGCCAACATAACAAGTTATGTTAGCAGGTAGAATCTTTTTCTGGTAGGTCACCTTATGTTAAGGGACACCAGCTCCCCTCAAATAAATTGGCAACCCCTCCATTTTAGGAAATCTAGTACTATAATCTAGTTCACTCAGTTAGCTGGGGAATAAAACGGGAAGAAAGACATAGTCTGTACTGTTTGTCTGTGTATGGGATGTAAATTTACCTCATAAATATACACAACAATGTAGAGTATGTGCACTGTAAATTTAATAAATCAATGAAGCCGCTTTACCTCAGAGGCCCATTCTAGTTTTGGGCCACAAGATCACATTTTTATATAATAAATTCAGTTTATTATATACAAATAGTTCTACAGAAGTATACAGGAAAAATAGTTTCATATAGTTCTTATCCTAGGATCATTTTTTCAGTTGCTTTCTTTTCACCATCCTGTTCTTCAATCTGGACCTCAGGGCCCTGATCATGCTTAGCTAGGGGATAAATGGGAATAATACCAGCCTGGTATTTATACCTTTGATGATGCTACCTAGTCAAGAAATGAAACGTCTACAAGAAAACAACCCAGCTCAGAAAAACATCAAAGACTTGACAGTTCATTTCTGAGCTACAAATAGTCTCTTCTATTAATACCAACTTGCCATAACTTTTCCAATCCTTCAGTGGGATATGTAAGTACCGTATACAGTCATACAGGCCTTGGGAATTAAAGACAAATATTTTACCAGCATGGTATGGAAATTGGCTCCAGCTTGTTTGCTATAGGATCCCTAATCTGGGGTCATGCTTTTTGTTTTGTTCGCTCTTACGCATTTCTCCAAGTTCATTTGGGTTTACTGAACTCAGTGTTCTATAATGAATTCAATTGCAATCAGACTGTTCCTTTTTTTATTTGCTTGCTGCAGTCCCTTGTGCCCAAGAGGAGTATTTTCTAAGCCTAAAGGGTGCTATGGTAGCGCAGTTCCAAAAAGTAGGAACTGCTAGCCAGGGACTTCATAGTTCAAATTTATCTAGCCTCCACTATAGCTCTTAGCAAACAGCTCTTTGCATTGTTTTCCAAGGCAGTTTCTCTCGATCTACTATGGTTTATTTTATTTTATTTATATTTCACCTTTATTATTATTTTTAATAAGCAACTCAAGCTGGAGAACTCATCTAATACTCCTTCTTCCTCCTATTTTCCCCACAACCCCCCCTGTGATGTGAGTTGGGCTGAGAGAAAGAGTGACTGGCCCAAATAATCCAGCCGGCTTTCATGCCTAAGGCGGGACTAGAACTCATAGTCTCCGGGTGATTGGCCCAAAGTCATCCAGCCGGCTTTCATGCCTAAGGCGGGACTAGAACTCACAGTCTCCGAATTTCTATCCTAGTGCCAACTAACCACTAGACCAAAGTGGAAAAAGGAATTTATTCCTCTAGGATTACAATGATATGTGCTTTTACTTGTTGTAGGTTTTAAACAAAACTTCCTTCATATTTAAAATGCTCTCTATTTAGAGGATAGTTTGGATAAGTTTAACCATATGACTTGTGGAAGAAATATTTTTTAAAAGAAGTACAGGAGAAATTGAGTTGTGGTTTGGGATGGCCTGAAAGTATTTTGATGCTTACTTAGTGAGCAACAGTTAAAAATAAATAAAACATACACCTAGCTATTGATTGTCAAGAATGCCAGCTGTAGCATTTACATACACAGGCCTGCCTTCTCTTTTCCCTTTGGTTGACATCTTTTCTTAGTATTGATCTTATTTCCATTTTTCCCCTTGGATTTCTAGGATGTCTGTCAGCTTGAACAAGGAGAAGGAGACAGATCTCATTGCTGAAGGAGTGACTGGTCAGATGTTCAACAAGCACGTATTTCGGATACAACTCTTTTGGGGAAGAGATGGTATTGCAAATAGGTTGGTTCTGGAAGAAGGAGGAGGAGAAATTATAAAAAAAAAGTGGTTGAAAGGCAAGTAGGAACTTTATCTAAGGTAATCCACACATAAACAGAGAGGACCTTTTCCTCAAATATACTCATCATTAGGGAAGGTAGAAGAATGTATGAAATAAAAAGTTAAGTATTTGGTTAACACACTTCTCAATTCAAATTGTTTGAGAGAAACGAACACTTCTAAAGCACAAACCACCAATTAGTTACTGCAATTAATTGTGCAAATGAAGGGTTTTTGTATGCAGACAGTACAAATTTGCCATTGTAAAATTGTGGTTTTTGTGCCTGTTATCTTTGTTGGAATGACAAAAATTGGAAATACTTTAAATTGGTTAATCTAGAACAGTTTCTTAACCCTTGGCAACTTTGTATGACTTCAACTTCCACAATTCCCTAGCCAGCATCCACTGATTATTTTTTAATAAATAAAAATAAATCCAGTCTGAAAAATTGGCTGACTGTGCCACAAATCAAAATAATAACAATAAATAATTAACACTATCAAACCTCCACATCTGCCTATCTCAGATCCTTGGGAAGGACTCAATAGGTGGATAAAAATGCCAAATCCAGTATAAACATCTGGCTGACTATGCAACCAACCATAATAAATAATTAAGGTTCCTTCCAGCCCAATTATTCTATTCTATTCTATTCTATTCTATTCTATTCTATTCTATTCTATTCTATTCTATTCTATTCTATTCTATTCTATTCAACATCCCAGCAAAAAAAGTTAGGAAGCCATAATAATCTTACTATACCGTATTGATTCCCAATACATCTTATTTTTATTTCTCACCATCATAGCAATCAGGCATCTTCAATACGCCATCAAAACAACTGCTTTCAGCTTCAAAACTACAAGTCTTATTCTGACTTCGGCAGAAAAATGTGACTGTTTCACCATGATGAACAAGACCATTTGGGATCTCATAGGCCCAAACTTTACGTCCATGGTAGATTATCCGGCTCCTTTGGGCAATGATGGGACAGCGAGCTAGAACAGGAAAGAAAGAAGTAAAGGGGTCATCTGGAAGGGCAAACAGAAGTCAGAGGTGGAATTTAATGGGAGGTCGATAAAATATTATGGGAGGGAGTGAAAAAGGAAGATACCTCTACAGTAAGGCAGTTGGGACCAGCTTCCATTTTTCAGGCAGATGACTCTGTTAGAACCATCTAGGTAGAAGTCCTTGTGACATAAGTAATAGATTACAGTTCCTACAGGATATTCAGACTGGTGCACAGCCACCAGTGTTGCCTGTGCAACGTTGGTTGGCCGGGAACAGGTAACAGCTGATGAGAAAAAAACAAAGTCTTAAGTAAGTCCGCAAGTTATATGGATGGATTAATTAAAGATCAATGGAAGAGAACTTATATGGAAGTATGGAATGACCTATGAAATGTCTATTTAAATGGAAAGATATGTAGAAGGAGTTATGGCTTAATGGTTAAAAGGGCAATAGCAATAGCACTTATACTACTTTATACTGCCTTACAGCAGTCACTAAACGGTTTATAATATTTCTCCCCACAATCTGGTCCTCATTTTACCAACCTGGGGAGGATGGAAGGCTGAGTCAACTTTAAGCCAGTCAGGATTGAACTCCTGGCTGTAGGCGGTTTGCCTGCAATACTGCATTCTAACCACTGCACCACCATAGCTCTTATAATGAATATATGAATACATGTGAATAAATAGATCTCTCAGTATGAAGATGGATAGAAATTGACAAGTCTTATGTTTTGGTTTACAGGTGGTTGATCCAGGTGTATATGCCTGGTCACCCTTATGTTAAGTTTGTGGTTCAACATATTACTACTATGGCCATGAAATAGAATATTTCTACTTGACCACATTTAAGAAACCTGAAAGAAGTTGTAATTATCTTCCTCTACTGTTGTGTCTTGACAACTTACGATGGCAAGTTGGAGCATTGTCTGACCATTCCTTATTTTCTTGGCATAGGAGTGAATTGGACCCTTGCAGCCAATATCTATATAGCAAGGGGGAAAAAAAAAAGAGAAAGATGGCAATATTAGGGAATAACCATTCATATTTTCAAATACAGGTGATCCTCCACTTACAGCCATTCGTTTAGTGATGATTCAAAGCACTGAAAAAAGTGACTTAGGACCAGTTTTTATACTTACTTAATATTTTAATCTGTATAGTTTTTCATGCTTTAATATTTAAATTATTTTTTACTTGTTTTATAACTGGCGAGCTGCCCAGAGTCACACTGCAGGGGAGATTGGTGGCATAAAATTTAATAAATAAATAATATACATGAATAAAATTATGACCATTGCAGCATCACCAAGGTCAGGTGATCAGAATCCAGGTGCTTGGCAACTGACATGTATCTATGACAGCTGTACTATCCCAGGGTCATGTGATCACCATCTGGGACCTGGCCAATTGACTTCTGATAAGCAAACTCAATGGTGGGAGCCAGATGACCTTAATGACCATAAGATTCACTGAATAACTGCAGTAATTTGCTTAATAACTGGGGCAAAATGTAGGCCATAGTTGTGAGGCCTACTGAGTTGTGAGACTTACTGAGGCAAAACTCATTTAACAACTTTTTCACTTAGTAATGGAAATGTTAGGCTCAACTGTGGTCATAAGGACTACCTGTAGTGCTTTCAGGAAAGGTAGTCAACTAAACAACCACAAAGACAAAGATTTCATATTCTTCAGTGAATTCTACGGTGTGTAGGAATTCTCAAAGGGATGTTAGAAATTGAAATGTAGAAATTGAAACTGAGCAATCATTATTCCTATTTGCTCATAAGATCTGTAGGGTCTTCCTACAAGTTGTAGGAGGACGTGTAAATGGGTTGAGATAGTGAAGAGAAGAGTCCAATTCTATTGTATGCTAATGCAAAAGCTACATATGCTCTGTTGTTCCTAAGTAGGCCAATTAGTTAGACAGTGTTTTTCAACCTCAGCAACTTTTAAGATGAATGGACTTCAACTCCCAGAATTCCTTAGCCAGCATGCTGGCTGGAGGATTCTGGGAATTGAAGTCCAAACATCTTAAAGTTGCTGAGGTTGAGAAACATACTGAGTTAGGAGATGAAGCATATGTGTATTGCTTAGAATTTTAGGATAGCCTTCAGTGAAGAAATGGAGTGCTAGACTCACCCAGGTTTACACCTATAGAGCACTTCCTTTCCTATGGTATAAGGACCATTTTCATGGTATCCATTGTCAATCTCAGGGGGAGGTTTGCAAACATTTGAAATATTAAGAATATCTGGAAAAGAAGAAAACATACTGCAGATCAGGGATGTGTAAAGTCAATTAGGTCAACCATTAATTAGCCTTTTGGTGAAGACATTGATGTAATGGCTGTGCAAATCACCTTGAGGAACAATGAAGAAAAATTGTCAGATAAGATAAATCTGAATTCAAAGCAGAAATTTAATTTGAAAAAACGGGCCAGACCTGACTCTTCCTATTTTTCTTGAGTGTAAAAACAGAAGAAAGACACATTCAGACCTGCAAGAATTTGTTCCTGTTATTTCATAATAAAATTAGTATCAGCATTCATAACTTTGGTTTCCTGATTGGGAAACAGTTGGGGATCAAAGATGGCTTTGGATTGGATAAAGATTTTTAGACAAGACATGACTATGAGATTGGTTGTATTGAGTAATTATTAATAATTAGGAAATAGTACCTTCGCACCGTGCAGTGATACTCCACTTTTTGTCTCCTTGACAACGGCTGATTGACATTTCTTGTCCATCCAGCATTCTATATCCAGATTTGCAGGTCACCGTCATGAAGTCTCCAAACACATGGGATTCCTGGGCCAAGTGTGTCTCAGCATTATCAACTGTCATGGGCCATGGACATCTTAAGGCTTGGATGAACACAGAAAGAACAACATGAGCACAATCAGGAAGGATCTAGGATGGCTGGCTTAGGAATTCTGGGAGTTGAAGTCCATGAGTCATAAAAGAGCCAAGATTGCCTATCCCTGAGGTCACTTAAAGCACCAAGGATGGAAGATTTCTAAGATCTAATGCAGGGATGGGCAAGTATGGCCACTTTATGACCTGTGGATTTAACTCCCAGAATTCTTCAGCTCTAAGGAATTCTGGGAGTTGAAGTCCACAGGTTGTAAAGTGGCCATAGTTGTCCACCCCATCTAATGGATGCTTTGAAAGATAAACATGGGAGATTCCTTGTAAGACAAAACAAAATGTAATGAAAGCAAACACAGAAGGGCCTTTACTCTGGTAGGATGTCCTGCCCTCCTTTCAAAGGGCAAATAATCTGTAACTTACAACTCATTTTTTAACAACTGTTCAAAGTTACAACAGCATTTTAAAAAGTGAGTTGTGGTCACATGAGCAAAATTTGGGCACTTGGCCACCCGCATGTATTTATGACAGTTGCAATGTCCTGGGAGGGGGGTATCATGTGACTGCCATTTGGGACCTTCTGAACCAGCTTCCAACAAGAGTGCTGAAGGAATATAGTTAGTCCTCGACATAATCATTTGTTTAGCGACCATTTGAAGTTACAACAGCACTGAAATAAGTGACTTACGAGCGGCTCAAGGCTAACCCAGCCTTCCATCCTTCCAAGGTTGGTAAAATGAGGACCCAGATTGGGGCAATATGCTGACATTGTAAACCACTCAGAAAGGGCTGTAAGCACTATGGAATGGTATATAAATCTAAGTGCCATTGCTTATAACTAGTCCTCGCACTTATGACCGCTGCAGCATCCTCACGGTTATGTGATCAAAATTCGGGCAATAGGCAACTGAAACTCATTTACAGGGGTTGCAGTGTTCTGGGATCATGTGATTGCCATTTAAGACCTTCCCAGCCTACTTCTGACAGGAAGAGTCCATGAAGAAAGCCAGATTCGCTTAATGGCTGCATGTTTTACTTAACAACTGCAGTGATTTGTTGGCAAAAAAGTCATAAAATTGGGTTCAACTCATTTAACAATGACCTTGCTTAGCAACGGAAATTCTGCTCCAAATTGTAGTCATAACTCGAGGACTAGTTATAATGGGCTGGTTTAGCATAGAATGGGCATTTTACAGCCCGTGGACCACATCCAGCCCTTTGGCTATCCCTGTCCAGCCCACAGCATCAGGGGAGCAGGGCTTAGGGCAGTGGGGCATTAGCAGTGGAGGGCAGGGAATGCTACCACAAGCTGGGCGTTGCCAGGGGCGAGGCAGCAATGGCAGCAGGGTAACAGCAGGGGGTGGGGCAGGGGAGGGGAGAAGACAGGGGAAGAGGAGGTGGCCCTCCAAAACAATCCCAGTTTCTCATGCGGCTTCTTGGGAAAATTAATCGCCAGTTAGAATAAGAATAATAAGAATAATATCACTGGAATTATCTGGGAGATGAATGAAGACCGTAAACCAATATTTCTCAACTTTAGCAACTTTAAGATATTGTGGACTTAATAATAACAATAACAATATAACAACAACAACGATGACGACGATGATGATGGAAAGGACCTTGGAGGTCTAGTCCAACCGCCTGCTCAGGGAGGAAACCCTACACCATTTTGGACAAATGGCTGTCCAGTCTCTTCTTAAAAACTTCTAGTATTGGAGCATTCACCGCTTCTGGAGGTAGGTTGTTCCACTGGTTAATTGTTCTGTCAGGAAGTTTCTCCTTAGTTCTAGGTTGCTTCTCTCCTTGATTAGTTTCCATCTGTTGCTTCTTGTCCTGCCTTCAGGTGCTTTGGAGAATAGCTTGACTCCCTCTTCTTTGTGGCAGCCCCTGAGATACTGGAAGACTACTATCATGTCCCCCCTCGTCCTTCTCTTCATTAACTAGACATACCCAATTCCAGCAACTGTTCCTTATATGTTTTAGCCTCCAGTCCCTTAATCATCTTTGTTGTTCTTCTCTGTACTCTTTCTAGAGTCTCAACATCTTTTTTTACATCGTGGTGACCTAGATGCAGTATTCCAAGTGTGGCCTTACCAAGGCATTGTAAAGTGGTATTAATACTTCAACTCCCAGAATTCATGGCTAGCTGGAGAATTCTAGGAGTTGAAACCAACACGTGTTAAAAGTTGCTAAACTTGAGAAATCCTGCTGCAAACTATTTCAGATTCCTGGGGCCCTAAAAATGATGTCAGTATATATCTACCTGGAGAAATGCAACTCAATCCACATTTACCATCGCACACACACTTTCTGGTTTTTGAACATTGGCGGCGTTCACAGCTCCTCTGACAAACGTGTCCTGTTCGCATTACAAAACTCTTTTTCCGTGAAGGACATTTGGTTTCAGTGATATTCCTTGCTGGAGAAAGTAAAAAGTATAAATGTTTATAAGTAGGTGACCAACTTTTTTACAATGAAAAGGAGGACACAAATACATTGAAGAAAAAAATATCGTAAATAAAAGAAACATTTTATTCATTGCAACAATAATATAGACAACTTGCATGTGCAAATTTTGCCAGCCGGGTGTTCTGGCGCGCTCAGCAGCAATTCCTATTGGCTTTCGAAAGCCAATAGTGGGAGTAGCACAGCTCATGCAAAAGTTGAAAAAAAAAACCCATCAAAAAAAGGTGCCGGAACGCCATTCTGAGCGTTCTATGAGGGAAAAAAAAGCCCTGCAGATTAGTCTTCAAATATCGAAAAGGAGGACATGAAGGAGGACACTTTTTGAGGGAGGACAGAACTTACAAAAGGAGGACTGTCCTCCCTAAAGGAGGACGGTTGGTCACCTTATTATAAGATGCAACTGAAAAAGACTGGGTGTGGGAGTAGGAGAAGCTGAAATCCGAATATATCACACTTGATTTTTTAAAAAATATTTACTTTTTAAAAAAACTGCACAGAAGTTTTATAGCAGCAACAGCAAAATTATGAACAAAACTAGATTTTTAAAAATGGCAATATACACCTGTCTAATGAATAATCTATTTCTAGTTTGGTGCAGTGGTTAAGATGTTGACCTAGTCCTAGACCAGGGGTAGGCAACCTTGGCTTTTTTATGACTCGTGGATTGGCTGGCTCAGGAATTCTGGGAATTGAAGTCCATGAGTCATAAAAGAGCCAAAGTTGCCTACTCCTGTCCTAGACAAAAGGAGACTGGGTGTTCTAGTCCCACTTTAGGCATGAAAGCTGGCTGGTGACTTTGGGCCCATCAATCTCTCTCAATCTAACCCACCTCACAAGGTTGTTGTTGTGAAGAAAATAGGAGGAAGGCATATTGGAATGCTAATTACTTTGAGTTATGTATAAAGTATATATGTGGATGTACATATACATACAAACACACGCATGTGCACACACTCATATCTGTACAGGTAGTCCTCAAGTTAGAACCCTTTGTTTAGCAACCATTTGAAGTTCCAACAGGTCTGAAAAAGTGACTTACAAGTGCTTCTCACACTTACAACTGTTGCAGCATTCCCGTGGTTGCATGATCAAAATTCAGCTTAGCAACTGATAAGATACCAAGCTGATAAGAAACCTCTTAGCAACTGATATCTATTTACAACAGTTGCGGCATCCTAAGATCATGCAATCATCATTTGTGATCTTCCCAGTCAATGGGAGGGGGAGTGGATTCACATAATGACCATGATTCATTTAACAACTGCAGTGATGCACTTAACTGTGGCAAAAAAGTCATAAAATTGGACATGACTTACCTAAGCCATGCTTAAGGGAAATTCCAGTCACAATTGCAGTTATAAGTCAAGGGCTGCCTCTATAAATCTATCTATCTCATAACATTTAAGACTGAAATTACAGTGGAAAAATGGAAGGCCCAGAAGATCTTCTGTGCAGCATAGTAGTCCAAAAGTTGTTCAGATAGAAAAAAAATCTAGATATCTTCCCTTTTCATTGTGAGCTTAAAAAAAAAAGGGAAGAAAGTATCCCATTTGGCATTTTCTAATCTAGATTAGGCATCTGAGAATGATGGGCCTTGTAGTGCAGAGACCAATAGAACAAAAGCTAAATTAGAAAATCTGTCAGGAATTAAGATGTTTGTTAGCGTGACTTTGCCCCCAAATGGGCTTTCTGATGGGAAGCGTGATTTTGCTTTTTCTTTCCATCCTGTGACACATAAGGTAATATCGGTGTTTGGGCTCATTTCCTCTTTGTGTATTTTTTAAATGTCCCTCAGCAGAACCTTTTAAGCTCTGCCTCATTAGCCTGTTGTTGGCTTTGATTCATTCCCCCAGAGCAGATTCCTGCGGATTTTCCAACAAGAAAGATGTCAAGCTGAAACTTAATCTAAACTGAAAACAAAGAAAGCCAAATTCAAACCAAAGTTCGTTTTTTCCCTCACAGTCTAGCAGAAGGCATGAAGGTGTGAACAGAACATGAAGGAACAAAAATTGGATTCCTGCGCGATAAACACTGTTTAAAAGCAAAATGTCATGGATATTGTCTGGAGGGTTGGCTGTATAAACTGAAACAAAAAAATAAACAGCTACAGACTCCTTCCTCACCTGCTGCGTATTTTAATTTTGCTATTGATGATAGGAATTTATTTTAAGATTGTTCACTCATTGAGATGAGTGAATAAATGAATCAATTAAAAAATGATGGGGTGTTAACTCAAGCCCCACCCCAGATTACACCCTTCGATTTACAACCATTTGTTTAGTGACTTTTGTTACAACAGCAACTGAAAAAAGTGACATGACTGTCAGAATTCAGATGCTTGGCAACTGGTTCATATTTATTTATTCATACAGTATTTTTGACGGTTGCAGCGTCCTGGGGTCATGTGATAACCTTTTGCAACCTTCTGACAAGCAAAGTGAATAGGGGAGCCAGATTCACTTAACAACCATGTTACAAACTTAACAACTGCAGTGATTAACTTAACAACTGTAGAAAGAAATGGGGCAAAACTCACTTAGCAACAGAAATTTTGGGCTCAGTTGTGGTCGTTGAGGACTACCTGTAATCATGAATACATCTTTATTTTGAATATTTCTAGACCCTCTTTTCTCAGTAGGTAGGCAATAAATTACATATTCAAAATCTAATACGAAAATGAAGGAAACTTAAAAAAAGAACAGAAATAAACAAATATGCAGATTGAGGGTATATATATTTTTTTAACTCTTTGTGAAGGCTAAAAAGTAGTACAGAGGCCAATAGATGTTTGTAGACTTTCTCCCTCTTCTAATTCAAAAGGAGACTTTGGTCAAATTTTTTCCCTAGTTTTCTTCAGAGAAAAGGAACCGGAAGAGAGATGACAGGAAAAGGCTGTCTGCCCCTAGGTCAAACATATTCTAATTTGGGGAGAAAATTACTTGTCCTGGGCCCCAATTATGGATCTTCCACGAAGAAAGTACAGGTAGTCCTTGACTTACAACCATTCATTTAGTGACTGTTCAAAATTACAATGGCACTGAAAAAAATGGGGTATGACAGGTTCTTGCACTAAATCAGCATCCCCAGGGTCATGTGATCAAAATTCAGGTGCCTTGAAACTGGCATGCATTTATGATGGTTGCACTGTCCCAGGATCACATGATCACCATTTGCGACCTTCCCAGCTGGCTTCTGCCAACTAAAGTCAATGGAGGAAGCCAGATTTCCTTAACAACTACATGATTCATTTACTTACTTAACAGCTGCTTGCTTAACAATGGTAATAATGGACGTAATTATGATCATAAGGGGAAGAACTACTTGAGCAAGGGGTTGGATTAGATGACCTCCAAGGTCCCTTTCAATTATTCTATTCTATTCTATTCTATTCTATTCTATTCTATTCTATTCTATTCATAAAGGAAAAACATATTTCTCCACCTTGCCCCAAGAAGGTCTTAGATATCTCAGAGACATTTCAACTTTGAGGTCTTCCAAGTTGAATAGTAGAGATGTTCAGACACATTGGTACTGAAGATTTTCAAGAAGGTGCTGGGCACATCTTCAGATAGGATGCAATTCACGTCCCCCTTTTTGTTTTTACATAATTCTGATTAGAAAAGTACTTCGAACTAATCAACGTGAGTGAATGACCTATCTTAAGGCAGAAATGCCTAAGGATATTACTGTGGGAGGGGGGAATGGTGTTGTGGAGTTATTTATTAAAATATCAGCAACTAGGAATAACCTAGAGATGATCTATGGGGCTAGGGAATTATTATGAGAGTCTAGTAAACCCCTAAGTAGCCTGATAGCAAGGATGAAATGTGCTGAAGGCTTTTTCTGCTCTGGCAGTTATTAACAGGGATTGAATATAAAGTAGCTGGTAACTGAAAAACAATGGTGGAGGCAAGCAGAAATCAGCAAGAGGGACAAAATAGTGTTACTGGGAAGGAACTGTCCCATTTATTACAACATTTGTAAAGTATAGGAAGTTTTGACTTACGACCATAACTGAGTCCAAAATTTCCATTGCTAAGCAGGACAGTTAAGTGAGTTTTGACCCATTTTATGACCTTTCTTGCCACAGTTGTTAAGGTGTTAAGTTAGTAACACGATTGTTGAGTGAATCTGGCTTTCCCATTGACTCTGCTTCTCAGAAGGTCACAAAAGGGGATCACATGACCCAGGGACATGGCAACTGTCATAAACACACGCCAGTTACCAAGCATCTGAATTTTGATCACGTGACCACAGGGATGCTGCAGTGTCGTTGTAACTTTGAATGGTCACTAAAAGAACGACTGTAAATCGAGGATTACCTGTAGTTTTACCCTTACCTGCCAACTGATGTCTTATGCCTTTTCTTCAAAGCTCAACCGGTCTGAGAAGTGAAACTGGTCCAACATACAGAAGAGTTTTCAAAGCTTTCTGTTTCGGTATTTTAATTTTGGAAATCCTCCTTAATTTGGAGGATAGTCGTATGCGAGGGAAAAAATCAATCCAAAAGCAAATTAGCTTGAGAACTAAGTTTTCTTGCATTTCCAATTAATTTTATTTTAGAATCCCAAGGCCCAGCTGGGCATCTCTCTGTTTTTCTTAGTGTTCCCAAACCGAATATCTAGTTCTCTGTGGTCCTATACAGGTCTTTGTAGTGTTTGGCCACCAGCTTGCTCCAAAATCTTTCGCAATCATTTAATGACATGTATTTTGCAGTGTTGGAGCACTCTTGAAAGATGGTTGATGGATTCACGTATCATATTAAACCATTGTTTAATGAACATTGTGCACCACAACTGGCTAGGTTCATACAATATGCTGCCATAAACCATAGTTTACAAATCAGAATGGTTGGGTGTAACACATTAAAACAAATCACCTTCTGGATTGGCTGGTATGTTTACTCAACCTGCTATTACAGAGATTTAAGTTCCAATCACCGTCCCAGGTTTAAATATCATCCAAGGCAGTGGTGGGATTCAGCCGGTTTGCACCACTTCAGCAAAACCGGTAGCTAATTTTTTTGTTGCCCAGGCCCAGAATGGACTTCCGGAAGCAGCATACACACAGAGAACTGGTTGTTCACATATTTGAATCCCACCACTGACCCAGGGGAAAATATGTGTTGACTTTTGAAAGAGGACTGATAGTTAAATTGGTTTTATTTTTATTTTTCTAGTCTATACTTCCCACTGAACTCTGCAAACTAAGCCATAGTTCATGAGAATTTGTCTCTCTCTGTGTGTGTGCATGTGATGGAAATAAACTTTATCAATGCTTGTTTAAAACCACAGTAGCTCAGATCTGTGTTATTTAACTATCACCCTTGGGTCTGGGTTTGCAATCCCAGATTGCACATATATGAATGTCCCCCTTCTTCATTTGCTTGAGCAAAAGACAGTCAAACCTTTCTCTCCCATGATTGTGAACAGAAGGCACAACTGTTGTTCCTGTGCTTTTAACAGCCTTTTAATATCTAAGAAATTGTCATGGCTATATAAAGCAAAAATCACCTGCCCTTGCGCACAACCTTAATTGTGAAGAAGGTGACAATTCTAATAAGATGCTAATGAGAAGTAACACCCATTTTCAAAAATCCCTGAGATTGCACTTTAAATATATCCTACATGGAAAGGAAGGGTGTGGTGTTAAGAAAGAAAATAGATTTTGTTCATTAAGCATATTTTTTTCTTGCATTTAATTTAGAACAGTGTTTCTCAACCTTGACAATTTTAAGGCATGTGGACTTCAACTCCCAGAATTCTGGGAGTTGAAGTCCACATGCCTTAAAATTGTCAAGGTTGAGAAACACTGATTTAGAAGAATCCAGCTGGAATATACTCAACTTTGAATGATTTTAATAAGCTAAGCTGGGTCAGACCTAATCAAGTCTAGCTGGGAAAATTTCATAACTGTAAATATTAGGACTATACAGGAAAAAGGTCAGTTCCATATTGCTGCCTAAAGTTCTAAATTGACTGTAAAATAACAAGCTCAAACAACAAAAATATGTTTTAATATACAAGAGGAAAGTTGCTTTACTATCCATGGCCACCAGATGGAGAAATATATTCTAAAACTGACAGTTTTATATTAATTTGCAAGAAAAAAAATCCAAGACATTTATGTTCTGTACCTATTTGTTAGTTATTTCTGTCCTTTACCCCCCTTTTTTTTCTCAGAGATTCCATTACTGTGGAATCCAGTGGGCAGTAATGTATTTTGGAGTATTTCTTCATATTTTGCACCTTTATAAAGATTTTAAAGCTTAGTCACTTTGGGAATAAATAAACCAAGCAATGAAACACAATCCAAGTTATTATGTATAATATATTCCAAACAGAGAAAATACAACTACTATTAAACTTTTCTCAGTAATAATATTGATGGAGTGCTATTTTATGCAGTTATGAAACTAGCGAAGCTGAATGCGAGTTCCATTATTTACTTTTTTTAGCCCCACAAATAAACAATAGAACCATATCAATTGCATTACCATATAGCACATTTAAATCTAGACTAAGTAGTTGAAAGGTATTTTCTGTGATGTTGGTGGAAAATGTCATTCACATATAGTATGATTTTATATATATATAAAATCTGAATACACGATTAAGCATGTACTTCCCTAAAATAGACATGCTAGCTTAAATATTTCTGGATCTTTCTCAAATGCATTAAATCTCTGTAGAAAATCAATAATTGTGTAATTATAACATATAATTACACACACATACATGTAAATGTGATTATGGAAAACACCTTGAGTATATCTGTAGACAAATGAATGTGTAGATTTCATACACTGTTAGAAAGCTAAATGAGGCATAAATACCTTCGTTTTAAAAATATTTGCATTTCAGAAATTAACGATTGGATGGACAGAGAGAGAAAACATGTGAAAGTATGCATGTAGAAGTTTATAAGTACAGACTAGCAATATTATTTAGTGCTTAGAATGTGGCATTCAAGATATGAGAAAGTTGAGTAGATAAATGTCACAGCTTAGACCAGTGGTTCTCAATCTTTTTAATGCCGTGACCCCCAACCGGTCGTAAGTCGAGGACTACTCAACTGGTGCAGCACCGTTTGCAGAATGGGACTTTTGGCGGGCTCAGCAGGGCAGAGACAGCCTGGACAATTCCTATTGGCTTTTGAAAGCCAATAGAATTAGACTCTATTCAAGAGAGTCTATTCTATTGGCTTTCAAAAGCCAATAGAATAAAAGGGGGTAGCACAGCTAAGGAAAAGGGAGGGAAAAATGGCGGACTGCATTGTTTGGCGACCCCCATGAAATAGTCGTTCGACCCCAAATGGGGTCCCGACCCACAGGTTGAGAACAACTGGCTTAGACCATTTATCTGGGAAGCCTCAATTTTCTATCTGTAAAATAGCTTGAAAAAGGCTAAGTGTCTTCAGTAGATTTTTCAGAATAAATAATTACATCCCCCGGTAAGATCCTTTTATTCAGGGCAGTTTGCTTTGTGTCTTTGTATCCTAATGCAGGAAAAGTTTTTAAAAAGTATCTCAAGTCTTCAATACAAACATTGCTTTTATTTACCTTATTATATTATTATATATTTATTATTTTATTTATTTCCACCTGAGTGGAAGAAAAGAAACAGATAATTAAACACATGTCCTTAACTTATCTTCTGGCAGAAGGACTCACAATTATTTTTGCTCCTATCTCCTATGCAAATCAATGGAGGACAGTCATATTTTCCATCTGGCTACCTTTTAAACCAGATATGTCCAACCTGCAGCCATAAGCTACATACGGCCCTGGACAGCTAGCAATGCAGCCTCCCAAGATAATAATAACATGCCAAAAAATAAAGGAAGTTTGTTATTTATATACATTAAGCATACTATATATTTTATATGCGGCCCAAGATAATTTCTCTTCACCCAATGAGGCCCAGGCAAGCCAAAAGTTTGGACAACCATGTTTTAAACAACCCAGAAGCTTTTATAGTATCACAGCTGATGCTAGGTGTGCCACTCCATCAATGCACCTTAAAAAATACTTTGGGCTGAATGTGGCTCACTTAGGCTAACAGCTAAGGTAGGATGGGTCAGAGCAGACCCAAGAAGACTAGATGCTGAAAGAATAATCAACCTTACATTCTGCTTTAAGCTATGCTTTGTTCAATTCATGGTCTCTTAAATAAAAAAACCACAGTTGGCTGGCCTCACTAAGCTCACTATGTGGCTGGGTTCATTCGGATACAATAGTGGAAAGCAGCTCCTGTGTTCCTAACCCAGTACTTCGTGTTAAAAATTAGCAATTGTAGACCCCGGAGGAGAGGTATGAAGGAACTCACCTTCTATGTGCTTGGAGCCTTCTGAGATCTGGCAAGAAAGAAGCAGGAGAAGCAGCAGGGAGGCAAACCCAGACATAGTATTATAAGATACAAGAAGTTTCTTGGGAATCCTCAGTGTGGGGGCAGGAGAGGGGGCTGCTTTCAGTGGATGGGACACAGCGATCAGGTCAGTCCCATGTAAGGAAGGGGTGACAGGAAAGGGCTGAAGACCCAAGATTCTTGGGTGCTCTAGGGACTGATCTGAGATTCTCTTCTGAAGGATGAGGAGCAGGACTCAGCCTTACGGGTTGGGACAACTGTATAAAATCCAGCAGGGATTCTCCCGTGGGACTATATATCCATTTCTTCAGCCCTGCGGCCAAAGTTATTCATTAATAAGGCCCTGAGAGCGCCCTGCCAAAGGGCAGGCTGGCTTCCACATTTGTCACCAGGAACTCTGAACTCAAAAACAGGGATCAGGAGATGGGGATGGACCCAGGAGTCCAACTTCTCCATTCATTGGATTCACACCACCACCACCACCACCACCACCTGCCACATCATTCATCCAGGAAGAGGCCCGGGAACTTCCTGACCCTCCTGGTTGATGTTTCTCACAACACCCCATTTCCTTGCTCAAGTCTGTCCTAATTCTGCTTCTTCTGCAACCCCATCCAGGAGATATTCTTTTTTCCCTTCTCAACCACAGTTGCTTTAGACCCACCTATTCACTTGTCTTACAACGTCCCTTGAAGAGATGGGCTTTGTTTTGGGTGGGTGGGTGGCTGGGTAGATAGGTGGGATCTCTTAATAGGAGAAGGCTGGGAACCTGGATTCTCTAAAGAGATATGGTGCAATTAAAAAAGGAATTTAGAAAGGTCTCTCTCTCTCTCTCTCTCTCTCTCTCTCTCTCTCTCTCTCTCTCTCCCTCCCTCCCTCCCTCTGTGTCCTGCTGACTCCTTGGAGAAAGGCACCCGCTATGCTTTCTCTTTAAACTCTAACTCCTCCTTCCCAGCCTCAGCCTCCCCCTCCAAACCTTCCTGAGCAAGAGAGGCAGATCAGTCACAACCTGTTTCTTTCTCGAGCTCCGAGCCTTTCTCTGCTGCTCCATATCTTCCTCCGTTTTCTCCTCTCCCCCTTTCTCTTTTCCTTTCCTTTGCTCCGCTCCCCACTTCCTTGCTCTTCTATCCAATTACTCTCTTCCTCTCCCATCCCTTCCTCGGCATCTCTGGATTTTTCCCCTCCATCCTTTCTGCTATCCCCTTCTTTGCAAACTCTCTCTCCCTCGCCCTCGACCAAGCACCCCTTCATCTTCCGCCCGTCCTCTTTCCCTGCCCTTCATCGACCCACATCTCCCGCTCCCATTTCCCTCCTTTGGGCGGTGGATCTCTCCCTTCCACCCTCCGTCCTCTCCTCCTCCCCTGCCGTCTGTTTCCCCGGCAGCCCTTCGTCTTTTGGGTCAGGGCACCGGGGCTTCCCCCAGGGGGCACCATGGCGCTCCTGAGCTCCCCCACCGAGACCGAGTGCTTAACCAAGCCGCTCTTCTGCCGCAAGGGGGCGCTCCGTCAGAAGGTCATCCACGAGGTGAAGAGCCACAAGTTTACCGCCCGCTTCTTCAAACAGCCCACTTTCTGCAGCCATTGCACAGACTTCATCTGGTGAGAGAAACCTCAGACCCTAACCCCTCCCCCTCCCCATGTGCCTTGACCCCTGTGGACTCTTTTCTACTACCCAGCTCATATGCTACAACCCTGTGATGGTTTGGACGTTATTGCTTTGCCAAAAAGCTGTATTTTTTAAAATTCCCGTCCAGGTGCTGGAAAAGTGCAGAACTGAGCAATAGATGCAGAATTTAGTAGGCTGGCTATACTGTTATTATTTATAGATTTATGTAGTGGCATATATGTGCCTTCCTGTGCAGATCATAAGTTTCTAGTCCTCTTTAAGGAGGTTCAACCTTACTCTAAATCAGAAGAAGATGTGGCTTTTGATTTGAAGAGATGAGATGGCTGTGTGATGTTTTAAAATTTTTGTGACAATCACTTAAAAGCCTGAAGATGCACGATGCAATTTGGTCAGGTCACAGATTTTACTGCTCCTTGCTGGAGAATTTCTAAAATGTCAGCCCAGAAGGATTTTCTTTCTGTCCACGTTGAATTAAACAGTGGTTTCTATGAGTGCTTCCAATTACACAGGTCCTAGCACTCTTAGCCAGAATACGTTGAATGGTGATACCACCTTTCCAGCAACATTTACAAGATTTTCTGTAGGGATAATGGATAATATAGAAAAACATGAGAGATTGACAAGAGGAAAAAACCTCCTTATCTGTGTTGTAAAATTCTATAAGTAAGGCAAGATGTTTACACTTAAGGTACACTTTGCTGATAAGGGAACTTTCTGTGTTAATGTGTTGCCTTTAATGATCTTGTTAAGCCCCACCGAATGGCTTCATGCATGTATGAACTCTTCCTTCCTTCCTTCCTTCCTTCCTTCCTTCCTTCCTTCCTTCCTTCCTTCCTTCCTTCCTTCCTCCCTCCCTCCCTCCCTCCCTCCCTCCCTCCCTCCCTCCTGTCATTCCACTATGTTTTTCTGTAGCTCCATAGATTTTTGAGGTGCAACCTGATAGTTTAAAATCTATAACTCTGCTGCTCTAATTCTACCACTTTGCCTCTTCAGGCTTCTGTTCTTCAAACATAATTCCATATTTCTATTACAGTCCACAATTATTCTTCAAACATAATTCCATATTTCCATTTCTGTTCCAATCCACAATTCTACTTCATTGACTCAATAATCCTATTTAACTGTTCTTTATTCTGATAGTCCTCTAAACCTTGTGATACATTTGGCCCTCTTTCTCTCTTATAATTTGTGGTCCCATGTAATTGTAGTTGATCCCATCCATGATTTCATCTTAAGGACTGAGTTAGGTATGTCCTCGGCTTCAATCAGAGTTCTGCTTTTTGGAAATTTAATTCTGTAACAGACCTGGAAAGTATACCATGCTAGGTTATGATAGACAAGATAATTTGTTTAAGAGGCTTGGCTCTGGATACTAGATATTTCTGATCATTTTTCTGCTCAGAATGCTATCTTCCATTTTATCCCTCCATTTTATCCCACGGTATATATACAGCATATTTCTAGAGCTAATAAGCACATTAAGTAAGGCCATGAGACTGATATGTTTCTAACTTGAGCTACAGATGCATTAACTGCTTTCATGGAGAAGATCATACAGAATCTCAAGAGGCTTTTTGAGAGAGTGTGTGCACCTTATTATTGAAAAAAATCATGCACAATAATACTCCTATATGTATTAAATAGGGAGGTAGAAGATGGGTCCTTCCTTTCTGATGATTTGTATATATTCCATTCCTACATGGCAATTCCAGCATTCAAAGTGGGTGTGACAGATAAAATAAGAAGATTGCAGTATTCAAAGAACAATGTGACCTGATTATACCTCCCTCCACGGGGCATCCCTTGTACAGCATAACTGCACTGGGAAATCAATTCTAGCAAGTAGCATGTCCTTGAATTCTCTCTCGCGCCCCCCCCAACCCCCAGTCTCCAGCAAATAGTGACAACCTTCACATATGTTTTATTTCCTCAGCTGATAATGGATAGAGATCTTGAAATGTAGGAAAAGCCAATAGGTGGGTGCCGTTGTCCATTGTCGGTAAGGTTGGCAGGATAAATCAGAAAGGCTGGATTGGTACCTGCAAGAGAAGGAACACAGGAGTGTGATTCTCACTTAAATGTAAGAAATAGTTATCTAGTTGATAAACCTCCCCATCCTCTCTTCCATCACTTTTCAAAGCAAGGAACATCCTCACTATGATCATCACTTCTCTAGCTCTATCTATTAACTTCAGCAATCCAAAGATCTATTCTTAAATGATATAGCCTGTTTTGTTTGATGCCTCTGAGACCCATCATGATGGTGAGTTCTCTCTCTGAATATGTATTACATATATTTGCTGCCTTGAGTTATTTGTAAAAGTAGTAAAGACAAGATAAAAATTTAAAATAAATTAATTCAAATAGAAAAAAAGCCCAGCAAGGCTTAATATGCTATGTAAACTGAACATGTTCAGTTCAGCAAAGATTGGATTGTGAGGGTTTTTTTGATAGAAAGCTGAAAATGTTTGGCTCTTGCAAACATTGAGACGTTCAGCTAGGCCTGCTGATGACTCCCTCTTATTTCACAGATACCTATAATCATTTTTTTATTTACATGAAAGCAGTATTGGAGGCTAAGAATGTCAGTGGAGAGGGTGTATGTGTGAGGGAGTGAGAGAAGTGTGTATAGTGTGTGTGAGAAAAAGGAGAGAGAGAGAGAGAGAGAGAGAGAGAGAGAGAGAGAGAGAGAGAGAATATAAATATATATAGCTTAACTCTTTTTATTGTAGAAGTTTTTTCCCAGCTAATTTCTCCAGCAACATTTCTCATTTTATGGACGCAAAAAATAGAGACCTTGTCCACTCTATTGGCTGAAGTCATTTTTAGAGCTGAAATGCATTTTTTTTCTCTCCCTTCCCCCATTAAAACTACTATTGTATCCATATTGTTGCTTCATCCAGAACTTATCAGTTCATCGTATGAGTACTTACACATTTTATCTTGCAAAGCCAAAAGCAGCTATGTCCATAGATTGTGTCTGTTTTTGTTTCCCCAACCTAGATCTAAATCTCTCCTTTGGCCTATCAGCTGCCACAATTTACTCAAACTTGCGAACACAGATCCTGTCATAGATCTCTGACATCCTGTCCCGAGTAAACTTCATGCTGCATCTCTTTTCTGTTTCTCTATGCCAGTGTTTCCCAACCGTGGCAACTTGAAGATGTGTGGACTTCAACTCCCAGAATTCCTCAGCCAGCCATGCACACATCTTCAAGTTCCCACAGCTGGAAAACACTGGCACAGAGTTCTGAGGTTCTGTTTTCTGGCCGAATGACATCTGAACAGGGTTCAGTACAGAGTACATTTTATGATGGCTACTTCTGGGATTATTTATGTGACTGGTTCCACAGCTCAGCAAATGACAATGAAGCAGTAATAAAGAGGATTGGCCCAATATGATGAGGAAAAGTTTGGTGGTTCAGGCAAAAGCTTTGAGAGAAAGACAGCTGCACGGCAGGAAGCAGTATTGAGTTAGTGTCAGGCCTTGTTGAACTGGGAAGATCTCAAATGGCCAATCACGTGACTCCCGGACTGTCAACCATCATCAATCCACACTGATTGCCAAATACCTTAATTTTAGTCATAAGATTGTGGGGATTAATTCATGACTCCTTGTAGACAGCATAGAAACAAGTCTTTTTAATGATCAACTCTGCCAACATTTTCATTCTGATTGAAGAGGGACCACTAGGACTTGCTCCTTAAACACCAGTTCTTACCCTCCTATACAGCTATTCCTTAACTTATGATCACAATTGGTACCTAGAACTTCCATTCCTAAGCTAGGCAGTCATTAGGCGAGTCATGCCCAATTTTACGACCTTTTTGCTGGGTTTAGTAAGAAAATCACCGTAGCGAATTATGCATTCATTAAGTGAATCAGGCTTCCACCATTGACTTTGCTTTTTAGAAGCTAACTGGGAAGATCTTAAATGGCCAATCATGTGACTCCGGGACTGTCAACCGTCATCA